AAATGGAAAACAAACAGAAAAGCCAACACACCACAAGCATACCCACAGCACAATCTCACACATCGATGACGACCTGAGCCTCCAGATGAAGGCCTCCTCTTGACATCTCGAATTACAATCGCCACTCGCTAGAATGACTCTTGCAGAATGCAACGTGACCATAGAACCGCCTCATGATACTCCACGGACGTCCTCGTATCTACTCACTGCCAATTACCACTGCAATCATTCTGCCTCAGTTCTAGTAGCGGTGACGCATGCGAGCCTCAGTCGTTTACACTCTTTCTCCCCGGCGTGTGGGACCGCAGCTAACAATTATCTCCGTATGCATTTCATTCTCCGCAATAGCCTAGCCTCCCCGGCGTATACGACCCATCTGCTCAGTGGTTAGGACTCTCGCCGACCATGCCCATGGTCCGGGGTTCGAGCCCACGCCGACGCACACCTGATATCTATGGTCAACCTGCGAAATTTGGGCTACCAATATCCGAGCTGAAAATTCCATGCTTGTACCGAAATAGGGTGTGGAACCAAGCTGTAATCAAAAATAAAAAAATAAGATATGCCCGCGATTGGTGTACTGTGTACTGCCTTTGTCAGTCAAGTCTCATAAACCGTCAGTTTCCAGCTCTTGCCACGCTAGGCCACACGCTGTCCCTCGAAGATTTTTAGAAACGCTTAGTATTAACCGATGCGAGAATCAAAACACTGTTTGGCGACTGAAGAATCCCTTGTTCTAACTCCAACATATGACCAACAATACTGTTATTACAGAGGTCTAGGAACAAATGTTTTAACAATAAATCACAATATTACTTCTGATAGTTTTTAATCTTCCTTCTGAACAGCGACCAATGAGATGATGACTGATGGATTGATGATTCCGCGAAAAATATGGGGAAGTTGGGTTTGAGCAAACAACCATGAATTGATCGTTCAATCTTCAACTACATTGACAGCCTTCTTACTGAGAAATAAGGATGATGCCATTTGACAACCTATCACTCAATTTGAGTTTCAGCAAGCTTATTTAAAAAAATATCTAGGTACTGAGTCTAAATGTGCTTCGGTGGAGCAGCGGTTAGGACACTTGCCGACCATCCACATGGTCCAGGCTTCGTTCCCCGGCCGGTGCACTCCTTTACCCTGCCAAGCCAGAAATAATGCTGATAAAGTGGAAAGGCTGGGCATGAGGCTAACAACTGCATCCTGTAAAATTAAACACTGCTGCAGAAACTTCAAGCCACTAGCTTGAGGCCCTATGTTCCACTGGGAACGTGAAGGAAAAAGATGAGTCGAAAGCAGATGAGCGGTCCTGGAAGATGCAGCAAACAAATTTACCCCCCCTGATATAAACTTCAGACAATGCTGTGATGCAAGACCGCAGCTGCATCTAAAGTACTTCTGCTATGTTTAATAACGATATATTTATTCCTATATATGTAGGAAGCACCAGTTTTACAGGCATATATATATTTGATTTATTTATATATTTATTTGATATATATTTATTTTTACTCAGTCTTTTCGTGCATTTATGCGACTAGTCTACTTATCGTTTATGGAGTAATAGGGGAATTTATGCGCGTTTTTAAGGCACTGCAGTAAACTAAAATTGATTCATTCCAGGAATGGATAGTTTGTTAATGTGATCAATAGAGTGAAACAGTCGTATAGAGAGAGTTTGAAACTTATGGCCGAGGTGCAAGTTCCAATTTCTGTAGGCAGGCTGTTCCATAATTTAGAGCACATGACTGTGAAGAAGTTTTCGCGTAGTGTTGATTTACAGGCGAATTGTTTAGGGTGGTTTGAGGCTTTAATTTAGGGTTCAAGATTGAGTAAGAGCAACTTTTCCATAGTTTTCAGAAAAGTAGAGGTAATAGCAAAAGGTCTAAATTTAATACACGTTCCAGCGAACCATTTGGTTCTAGGCTACAAGAAGAGTTCAGTGACTGGAGGCATTTTAGAACATCATTTGTATTGAAACCAGGGAAGCAGGTTTCATTATCACTTGGCGTTTGTAGGAGAATGTATGAAAGACTTGTCTAGAGTACACACACCAAGTGAACAGGGAATACTGCTGTAGTACTGGAGATAATTAGATGAATAAAGGCGTAAGTTATTTAAAATCCACCAAGAAGATATGCAAATACTGCAGTTGTTGATCATAAAAATGATGAATATTAGATACCATCACGTGGTTCGACGGCATATTCGAAATAAATAAAAATTGTTTCTTAGTTCATTGTCAAGTAAACAGTCTATTCGATGATGTCACTGCATATTGACAGATTAATGAAGTAGCTATCAACCCTAAGTTACTACATTTGTTTGCACTACAGACTTGGCGTTTAGCATTATGCAACCAGCTAAATAAGGCGACTTTAGCGTATCGAACATTTCGGAATTATTATTCATCTTGCTAAATCCTTTTTATTTTTTACTATGTGCTATTGAATGGAAGCAGACTGAAGATCCTATGAATGACTTAAGTAACAATCTCATAATACTGCAGTAAATCTCGATTCCACTAACTAAGCTTAATATGTGCTAATCCGAATTCACATTTTACAAAATCCCATACTATAGCGACGCCCTGAATAAGTCCAGAAGTAGAAATCAAGATTATACTAAACATTTCGTTGATTCACAAAATAAAGCTCCGGCGGAGTATGTCCGCGTTAGTCTGACCAATCGACTTTTTCGCTGATTTCATATTTGACAACCTCCATATACCTAGAAAAAATAAGGCATATGTAAGGACCAGTACATCAAGAAGTTATAAAAACATTTAAAATAAAGTTATGCAAAGTGGATACACTGATTCCATTAATGCTAAGTAAAATTCCCATGAAAGTGGAAGTATTTGTATTCCACAGGTGGTTTTTATATGCATAAATTGACCTCATATACTTTCCAGTGTTAGAGGATTATGCGCAAATTTTAACGCAATCTCTGAAACACCCATACTATTGAGGCGTCATTCTCTCACTAAGACTACTTGAGGATCAAATTCACCCTATATACGTTTACATTAAAGCGAATATTGCGGATATATAACCTGGAAAGTAATCCACAATCTCAGTAATGTCTAGTGAACATAACCTTGTGAATTCTACAGGAATTACGTTCTCACATTTAGGAGACTATAGCCATCAAATATGAGCTGAACATGCCTCAACTCTAAACAGCTGTGCATTGTATTAACAGCATACAGAAACACTTTAAAATACTGTAAGATACACAGACCTGTTGTGTTGATCAGGATGACTGTGTTATACAATGCGACCTAGACATTCAGTCGGAACACTGTATCTGCGCTGCTTCGTGTAAATGGAAATTTCAGGGGAAATTCATCTCCACTATTGGTGATCAAAAATATTGCAGCAATATGTAAACAGTGTCAGTGGGAATATATGACGGGCAGTAAATTGGTGATAATACAGCTGACTAGATTCATAACTCATAGTCAACACAATCAATGTGTATAATAATACTATACACTGAATTATTAATGATACTTGCACTTACCTATTTCATTACACTTTATTGATTCACTTTGGCACTTCTACTTTTCTAAAACAGCTTTCAATCCTTTGTAAACGTTGTACTTACCTCAGTATTGGTTGGTTATCGTATGCCTACAACCACGGGATGAAAACGAAACGAAGTCGATTTTCCCGCTCAACCTGGAGGACAACTGTACAATTCAATAACTCTAAGGCCTGGTTAGGACAACCAGTGTATTTATATATATGTATCAAATATTTAACTATTGAAACACTATTCACTTGTAAACAATCTACGATTTGATATTATATCACATTTGATCGTGCCTGTGAAACTGGCCTGCATTTTCATGTAAATTTATATGTTCATATGAGAGTACACATTATTATTATAATGCATTAAGTGAAACAGTGAGGAAAATTAAACGAGTAATTACGTTCTCCACTTCACTTGTCAGCTTAGCAGACAGTGGCAAAATATTAGTGATGTAGAGATTTTTATACATTTAATCCGCATAACCCATGTGGCACCGCACCAATCAGTGCATATATATATTTAATCCACTTAAAGATAACCTTTCAACTCACGATAAATCCTGTCCAAACACAGATAAGGTGAAAGACACATCTACATCATAACTTCTGTTCCCACAGAAGGTTCTGTTAGCGTTTACAGGTGATTTCCATGTACTGATAGCATTAACTTGTCAAATAGTACTGTTTTTTACAGGAAAATAACCACTCTGATATCCTGAGACGTGAAGTCTTCATTGAATGATACGATGCTGAAATCTGCAGCTTCTACATGAAGTAAACTATTTGTGTAGATGACATTGCCCTCCAGCTATCCTATCTTCCTCATTATAGCGATATTTTGACACACTCCACCTGAAACACTAATCATTGCAACCAGTATGCTAAGAGTGTGTCGCAGTCAGATCACATGACACGGACTCCAACAGAAACTAGCCAGGAAATGAGAATTCATATCATTCCTAAAAACATATTACACAATATTATTGAAAATGTTTGACAAAAAAATTTATTGAGCAAAATTTCAACCAACATGCCCGATATTGGACCTAAAACAAGGAGTTTTGACCTTTAGTGGTTTCCTATTTTCGTTTCTGTCTCTTAGTCTGAATAGCTTCACTAATTATATCTATTATTATTATTATTATTACTATTATTATTATTATTATTACTATCTCTTTTCTCTTGTCGACAATACCGAAGGACTAACTGGCGAAAGGATCAACTCCAATCACAGTAGTAACAGTCTTAACATACCTCATACTACAAACCACATATAATTAATCCCAGCACTACTCCCTTTGGAGTCAACCAAAGCTACGACAGTCGAGTGGCGGGACAAGCTACGCAGAAGTTTACCGAAGATCAAGAACCTATACCTCACAATCAAGAGGCGAGCACAAAGAAATCAAATTGGTTTATACTAGCTCGTAAAAACGATATTGGATATTGGATAGTGGTAATTCAAGGTCGTGACACTTTCAAACACCAAGTATACTGACGACTAAGTTTTTTGATTGACAGCACTCCGCAGGTATAATAACACTCCAAATTGACAGAGGAATACGGTTCAATATAGTTAATTTGACTATAATTACTGACTTTTGTACATTATGTAGTGTGCTATTATATGCAAACCCTATGTCCTCATGTTGATTGATGAGATATCGAACTATATTAGCTGGCAACAATAGTAGGGCAGAAAATGAAGATTATATTCCTCCTTTCTAGTTGTGCCCCTTGCTGAGACCTAGATTAAAACCAGGATATTAGTTGCGATGACATCTACAAATCGAAATGAAATGTTTTACAATTATTTTTAAGCTCTTGTAGTGTCACAAAAAATATTTTTTCCCTTGTCTGTTTCAACGTGTCACTTAATGTGCAGCATCTCTCATATTTTTCATGTGAAAATGACAATAAACCAATAATTATCAGTTTTTTTACTCTTCTTTTACATTCCGTTGTATTGCTTGGAAGCTTATATCATTTAAAGCTCTTTGACGAAGCAAGAAACTTGTTTTCAATATAGTAAAGCTTGTTGTAGTGGCAGTACTTGTTTTTCACGGGAGCGTATTTTTCGTGATTTTTTCTTCTGTAAATAGAAGCTTGCGTGTATTATTTTGGAAACATCAGCATTTCTTTTAACCATACTAGCCAATATTGACGTTTGGTAGTCAGCACCCTGAAAATGAGTGCTACTTAAATAATGATCATATGTGCAGAGCTCTGTGTAGATGAATCTCTAGATATTCAGGAAATCTATTATTTCTACTATTTAAATGTTGTGATGTACATATAGGTAGTCTTCCGGGAAAAACTAGGCGCTTCTCTTCAAAAATAAACATCGTAAGCATTTAGCAGGGTTTATAAAGTAGATTTTGTGAACTGTTTGACCTAGACAGTCTGACTAAAAGCTTCGACATTAGACTTACACCGCCCTAGTTGTAAAAATTGAATAGTGAATAAGAACCAACATAACATCTCATTTTCGATTGCCGGGCTAAAGTCCTACAGTAATATCAAAAACTACGGCTTTATATACGGAATAACCTAAGCTAAATTGCGAGTGTCATTTAGTGTTTGAGTTTCGAAATGCCATTTCCAAGTTCAACTGTAATTTTGGGACACAAGTTAAATTGGTGTAAGCAGCTCAAATCTAATCCCAATTTATAGTATCAAGGGATAACTCATTTAGTTTTACTCCATAGTGAAATTAAAACAAGCCAAATGCAAGTGTAATAAGTATTCGTTGGTTTTGCAAAATAGGATGAAATTTTGCCGTGAGAAATTACAGTAATCTCGAATTTCCGAAATAAAATAGTCACACTATGTATTTTAGGTAAATATGGTTTTCGGTTCAACGTAATATATATACTTCAAGGTGGCAGTATTGGTTAACGTTTCCTTCTGATTTTCACTTTATCCAAGTTTGGCTTTTGTATGCAGTCGTCATTTAACCATATTGTCAATTAATCTTACTTCACAAAACAGTCCCACATATTTTAGTTGCGTAGAATCCGGCATAGTATGCAAAGTGCCACCTCATTAAAGTATTTTGTCTGTTTTAGCCGTATGCTCGACCGAATCAAGCTCGAGGCTAGGCAGTTGTCGTTAGTGCCAGGGAAAGCCATTCGTTACGTTCTGTTATTTTTCTTCGTAGAGGTGATCACGCTCGTGTACGGCGTGATAATCTTCTTCTTGCTGCATCACGCTTTCATTCCTACCGTAAAATTGGAGAGAAATTTGGACTTGGTGTTTGAGTACGTTCTCTTCTTAATTTGCGAATTTAATGTCTTAGTACAAAATGCAACGTTCAAATGGAGTATTCCAATGTTTGCAGCTTTCCTAGTGCTAATTTTTCGATTTCAGAAGGTGGAGTGTCCGTTAGTTCTTTTTTCTAAAAGAAATTATGTTTGTAGTTACTAACTCCTAAATACCCTTACATGCTCATATTGGAAATGTGGTTGCCAGATTCTTTTCAAAATCGAATTGCAGGTAAGTAATGTTTCCCTCGCACTTCAATTTCATTATATTAAATTGTGTATTATCCAAATAATCTGGCTGTAGATTAAAGGAAACCAGTCGCTTGTTTGAAGGTGAAATCGTACTACTAACGACTACGAAATGTACCTCCAGTAAAAGTTCTTGTAAAAATAAAAGCAACTGTTTGATTATAGGGGTTTGGAAAATGTTAACGGTGAATTAGCGATTTCAATGAGCCATAATTCAGATGCTAGCTATGGAATTTAGAGTGAAAACGTAAATACAGAAGTACTATATATTTACGCTGACGTAAATTAAACCCTTAAAATAGGTATTCGTCTTCCTAAATCACACAAGTAGCTGAATAACTATTAGGAACCAGTCACTTTCACACCCATAGCACTTCTAGGGATTCCCTGTACTTTATCTTACTGTTTCATCTATTTTTGCAACCAACCCGACCTCATTTTTAGGTATCCTGAATGACAGGCTAAAATGCATATTTCTTGTAGCCTCACTACAATGCATGTTGGAGATTGAAAGTCTACACAATTTCTTGACCCACGAGGACCTTGTTAATCAAAAACCTAGCATTACCCACATGAGGATATACCTATTTAATCCAATTAAGACACCCTTTTATCCTAAACCTCAATTATCTGGGCACTTGACATTTACTAGTGTGAGATTAGAATTTGATATTTAATTTCCCCGTAGACTTGGTGGGAGAATAAAACTAATAATTAAAACAGTATTGTCTATAAGTGTGTGGTTCTTTGAATACAATTTCAATAATCATTCGTTTAATGTGCAGAACTTATTAAGCTGTATTAGTTTATTAGTTATGTCAAGTACCCGGGCGCAAAGCACAACCCTAGCTATTTGGATAAGCTAATTCCCATTCATATGAATTCTCCGTAAGTCTTCATTGACTGACTGATTGACTTCATTATAATATTTAATCTGTGGTAATGTGGTTTTAGTGCTGAACAGTGATATGTTTTTTCAAGGAGATTCAATCGACGCTGTTCAGCCGGCTCACAACCGTATTAACGTGGTGTGCTATATGTAAAATATGATTTAGGGTTATTTATTTTTCAAGTGAAATCGTCTTTTAAAATGCAATATAGACAGCTTATTGGTAACTTCTTGATCTGTTTTAATTATCTTTAACGTTTATTCTTTATTTATTAGGTATGACTATCATGACTTTAGAACTCTATGGCAAGGACCATGTTCTTGTAGGAAGATTCAAAAAACCTGTAAGTTTAACTTTGTTATGCGAGAATATAATTCCATGTCAATTTGTTTATTGTGTCCCACAGTGAAACAGTATTATTAACTGCATGACGAGATTTTGAACACAATTTATTGTTGGTAATCCCATTGATTATAATTAAACAACTCCGAAAGTTGATTGATCCCTGGGTTCGAACCTCGGCGGGTGAGTACTGATGAAGAGCCCCAAACTGGGACGGAACAGCTGTCAAGTACTCCCGGGTTTTCGAGTGGTTCTCTAGCCGATGTCAGCTGATGATAAAACCCTGTAGCCAATCAAATCCCTGCAAACCAACACTTGATTTTTATAGTTCTCTTTCCTCCTCCCCGTTTTTCGTAGTAGAATTTTCCACGTGTCCGGAAAAAATGTTAGATCATTTCTGTTACACGAATTCTCAGTTGGTTTGATAAATAAGGCTTCAATGAGTAATCTCTCCCTTCACTTTGGTACATTATATTTTAATAATGTCATCTTGTCTTATCCTTTTGTATGTTTGTACGTAATACTTTAGCCTAGCTGTTTTCTGAATATTTTATCTTGTGAGGCTCAACTAATCTCTATTTTGCCGGGTTTTGGTGGCCCAGTAATCTAGTTAACCTTGTCCTACTACTTTGGCCTATGTATTTGACATCACAGTCGTTACAAAGTATTAGATAAACTTTTATCATTATTTTGTTTATTGGGCTCCACAGGATCCTTTAACTGACGTAATTTGTTTCTAAGTGAGTCTGTGGTTTCCAATAACACTTGCCTTGCTGTGTTAAGAATTCTACGTAAGGTCTCAGGGGTTCTCTCTTTGTAAGGAAGCACTACTGCTGTTTTCAGTTCTCTATTGTTGGTGGTGTCACCTTGCTTTGTATGTTTGTCATGCATATCTTCCCCGTTACTGTTATTAATTTTATTCTCGAAACTTCTTGAGTGCCTCCTGGCTAATTTATCGGAGTAGTTAAATTTCAAAGCTTCTATTAAATGTCTCACTTCCTGCCTTAAATTATTGCTAGTACTATTTAGTTTTTCTGCCTTATTACTAAAAACAAGCATCACTAGCCAAGACTCTGGCATCCCGAGCCATTGATGTATGTTGTGTTTCAGAAACACGCATACAAGACCCAAGTGTGGTTATTCACCTAACCCCACCTGGCCAACAGGATGAATCTTCAAAATTCACCTTGAGGGTGTCAGGAGATGCCACAGCTAGTTCACGAGGATTAGCTGGCGTAGGGATAGCTTTGAGTACTAGGGCAGAAAAGACATTGCTTGACTGGATCCCGGTAGATAGCCGAATGTGTGCTGTCCGTCTGAACGGATCAGTAAGAAGGAGAAAGGACTGCACTACTCGCCGATGCCTTTTCGTAATCTCCGCCTACGCCCCCACTGACTGCAGTTCGGATGAAACGAAGGATGAGTTCTACCAAAAGCTGTCTAGTTTGGTGCGAAAGGCTAAACGCTCAGATATAGTCGTTCTAGCTGGTGACTTTAATGCTCAAGTAGGGAAATTGTGTCAATCTGAGAAGGATGTCGGTGGCACCTATGGAGTTCCGTGCCAGCGAACCGACAACGGTGACCGTCTCCTACAGTTCTGTTCAGATAATCATTTGTTTCTTGTAAGCACTAACTTTAAACACAAGGAGAGACACTGTTTAACCTGGCGACCCCCATCATCAAACCAACGCTGGACACAAATAGACCACATAGCAATAAGCTATCGTTGGCGTGGGTCGGTAGGAGATTGTCGCTCCTTCTGGAACACGTGTGTAGATACCGATCACGCACTGGTCCGGGCTCGTGTGTGCTTACGACTGAACGGACGTAGGAAACAGCTGGCGGTAAAACCATCACGTCCCCAGCTCGATCAGGAAACTAAATCCCTATTTGAGGAAGAACTAGCTAAACACATATCTGAATTCGACAGCTGTGCTCACCCTGAAGAAGCCTGGAAGAATATTCAGTCAGCCATAGATACAGCTGTAAAAGCTGTGAATAAGGCAAATCCAAAGGTGAGTAAAAACCACTGGATTTCGACTGCCTCATCCGAACTGATAGATGCTAGAAGACTTATTCCGGCGAGCTCCGAATTCAATGAGGAGCGAAAGCTGCACAAAAGGAAACTTACTAAAAGTCTCCGCAAGGACCGTGAACAGTGGTGGGTGACAAAGGCGAAAGAGATGGAAAAAGCATCGGCGATAGGCAACACTAGGCAACTCTTTAGACTCATCAGAAACGGGTGGGGGAAGGCAATTCATAAGTGAGACTATTTCTGAGAAAAATGGCTCCTTAATTAGCTCTCAGGATAGACGCCTTGAACGCTGGAAAGAACACTTTGAGGAACAATTTAACTTGCCTACAGCCACACTGAACCTCCCCGCCATCCACACACACCCGAATGGGATATAGACACTGGTCCGCCGTCTGTAGTGAGGTCCAAAAGCTATCAGTAATTTGAAACGAGGCAAAGCGGCAGGACCCGACGGAATTATTCCGGAGGTGTTTAAATATGGGGGTGACATACTAGTTTGTAGATTAACTGAGGTACTAGGCAAAGTCTGGGAATCAGAGACAGTTCCATCAGACTGGGGTAAGTCACTTATTATACCGATATTCAAGAAGGGAAACAAGTCCTCGTGTGATAATCATAGGGGGATCAGCCTAACGAACATAGTCTCTAAAATCCTAGGCTCAGTAATCATGCATAGACTAAGCAGAACTCGGGAGGAACAGACAAGGGAAAATCAAGCAGGCTTTAGACCAGGTAGAGGGTGCATAGATCATATCTTCACTCTTCGACAGATTCTAGAACATAGACACACTTTTCGGCGTCCAACAATTGTCATATTTCTTGACTTGAAGGCGGCCTTCGACTCCGTGGATCGAAAGGTACTATGGCAATGTCTGACTGTGAAGGGAGTGCCAAGAAAGTACATTGCACTAATCAAGGCACTCTATTCAAACTCACGTAGTCGTGTAAGGGCTTATGGGGAATTGTCATCTGAATTGGTAACAACCAGTGGTGTCCGACAGGGATGTCCACTTTCCCCATTTCTGTTTAACTTCATCATAGATATGCTGATGGAAGTATCCTTAACTGAACGTAATGACTTAGGAATCGACTTGTTACCAGGGAATAATCTTATGGACTTAGAATATGCAGATGACATAGTCCTGTTAGGGGAGGATGCTGACAAAATGCAGAGTCTTCTGAACACCTTGAGCAGCAATCTTCGTATGTTTGGCATGCGATTCGCCCCGTAAAATGTAAGATGCTGCTACAGGACTGGACCACGTCAACCCCTAACTTAGTGATAGGGAGTGAAGTGATAGAACATGTTGACCACTTCACCTATTTGGGAAGTTGTATTAGCACCAACGGACTGATTGGCGATGAAATCTCAGCACGGATCCGAAAAGCTCGAGCTGCTTTCGCTGACTTACACCATCTCTGGCGTAGGCGTGACATCCGGTTATCAACCAAGGGACGTGTGTACTGCTCATCAGTTCGCTCCGTCCTTCTCTATGGCTCTGAAACATGGCCAATACGCGTTGAAGACATGAAAAGGTTGACTGCTTTCGATCATAGATGTCTGCGATCTCTGTCTCACGTTAGGTGGTTTCACAAGGTAAGTAATGTTGACGTTAGGCGTAGAGTGTTGGGCAAAGAGGGAAAATCAATCGACGAGGCTATAAAGTTACATAGACTAAGATGGCTAGGTCACGTGCTGTGCATGCCTAACCACCGCCTCCCCCGACGGGCATTACTAGCTGATATAGGTTCAGGTTGGAAAAGAGCCAGTGGTGGCCAAACAAAAACATGGCATCAATCCATGAAATCCTTGACAGTTAAACTGAGTCAGGTAGGGAGATGCAGACTCCCGGGTTGGGGCCCTCGGGACTCTAGGAATCAATGGCTGGAGACAATAGGTGACATGGCTCAAAATCGTTGTCAATGGCGCAGATGTATTCAGTCTCTGTAATCTTTCATATTCCTTTCTACCATTACCCATTCTGTTTCACTTTTATACTTGCCAAACTGTATTTGTTCTCTTCACTCATCTTCTTGTCTACCTTTGTGTGCTATTTGGAAGATGGCAACTCGAACTGCAGCACTTTGGTGCCAAGTTCTATGTTGAATCCAGACAGACAGAGACAGACTATCGACCGAGAGGTTCTCTGGAGATGCTTGGCTGTAAAGGGAATACCGAGAAAATACATTGCACTGATTAAGGCACTCTACTCGAACTCATGCAGCCAGGTGAGGGCATACGGCGAGTTGTTATCTGAACTGGTGACGACTAGTGGTGTCCGTCGAGGATACCCATTATCCCCTTTTCTATTCAACTTCATCATAGATGTACTAATGGACTTAACCCTAAGCGAATTCAGCGACTCAGGATTGATTTGCAGCCAGGGAATAATCTCGTTTACTTAGAATATGCAGACGGCATAGTCCTGTTAGGGGAGGACGCTGACAAAATGAGGAGTCTTCTGAACACCTTGAGCTGCAATCGACGAATGTTTGGCTTGCGATTCGCTCCCTCCAAATGCAAGATGATGTTACAGGACTGAACTACACCGACTCCTAGATTCGAAATAGGAAGTGAAGTGGTAGGGCACGTTGACCGCTTCACCTATTTGGGAAGTACCATCAGTCAACCCCACTGTGTTGATCTCTGACAAAATCTCATCACGGATACGGAGGGCTAGTTTCGCATATACCAGTTTACGCCGTCTCTGCCGTAGACGCGATATCCGGCTATCGACCAAAGGGTGGGTGTACTGCTCATCAGTCCGCTCCGTCCTCGTTTATGGCTGTCAGACGTGACCATTGAGAGTGACATACATGAAAAGATTAGCTGTCTTTGATCATAGGTGCCTGCGCTCTATCTCCCGTGTGAAGTGGTATAATAGGGTGAGCAATATTGAGGATAGGCGTCGAGTTCTAGCTAAGCTGGGGAAATCAATCGACGAGGCTGTGAAATTACATCGACT